GTGGACGTTCAACTGGCTTGAAAAGTATTTAATCAACCGTCGACACTGACCATGCGCGTCTCAGCTGAGCCACACCTAGCTGGAACTGCTGCAGAAAAAAAGGTCCCAAGGCAAAACGTCTACTTTTTAGTGACATTTCTGATAAACAAGGGGCGTCGGACCAGAATATACTCAAACTAATTTTTCACAAGAGCGAAGGAGAAAGAAATTTATTCATTGGTGATATTTCTGACAAGGAGGCAGTTTCGGAATATAGTAAAAATAAGACGGATGTTTATTATGAGTTCACGTGAGTAATAATTCTAGTTTAATTGTTATTTCTGACGACGAGGCGGTTACGGAATATAGTCAAAATCAAACGGAGGTTTATTTCAAGTCCACAGGAGTAATAATTCTACGTTTTGGTGACATCTTTTACTACGAGGCGGTTTCGGAATAGATATGTGCTGGTTTTCAGAGCATTCATGTGCTACATGTAATTATAAGTTCAAAGGGGGATAGATTTGATTTTTACCTATATATCTGATAAAGAGGAAGAATGAACAGCTTAAAAACAAAAGGTAAATCACACAACGCTCATTAAAAAGTTATAGATTTACAAATAATTTGTATGCACGCGTGGCTTAACTGTAACCTAATTCCCGTTTTCAAACCATACCCATATGATATGACTTAGTGTAATATCATATGATATGACTTAGTGTAATAAAATTATAAAGAATAATTGTTAAACGTGAAAAGTTTGTTAATTTTAATTGTGAGAGATTTTAAATTTGTCAACTGGTAGGTATATAACGCAAGTAAAGTCACTATTCTCTTGATGCCAAGAAGGTCACATGATCACTGTCTTCGGCTTTGGATGCATATGTTATTACGTCTCTGGCTGGGTACAGACTGTGTATCATTACAAGACGAGTAGAGGTTATTTTATTCTTAAAGCAGATGTGAAACCTTCATGGCGTGTGACAGAGGAGCCATATCACCCACGAGTGGCCTTGCATGAGCACAGATGGCAAAGTAATTACTGCACACTGCGATTGCATGGCAGGGTAATTTTTTCAGTTGTGATTCTTGTTGTACTTATAAGTAGTTTAAATCCTATAATGTGCAATGCACTTTTTTAGCCTTTAAAACATGAAATATTGAAAATAAAATTTAGATGGTTATGCAATTACACGTTTCCTCTGTCTGGAGAGAAACTTGCACAAATTATGAACATTTGCTCTCTTTTTTTTAGCTTGGGAGAGACATGTTCTCACATTGGAGCGGTGCTGTATAAAGTGGAAGCCGCAGTGAGACTAGGTTACACAACCTCTGCCTGAACTGATTTGCCATGTCAGTGGAATGAACGCTATGTTAAGGATGTTGAACTGGCCCCACTGCATCTATAAAGTACTACAGTGAAAAAGCTAAGAGAAAGCTGAGGGAGAGCACAAGAGTCCACAGGGAATGGCCGCGGCCAGCCACTTATGAGGAACAGCACAGTCAATAAGACATCTAGGGACTACTACTGTAGTCGAACTTAGTGCTTGGAGCGAGCACAATGAGGCCTTTATAGAAGAAAATTCTGAAGATTTTGCCCCTGTTACCACGGTTCCAGACAATCTGAGAACTCTCTACAAGGAACAATACACGACCCTTAGCAAGGAAGATATGGTTGATGTGTGTAATGACATTTATGCTAAACATGATATAACACCTGAGGAAATTAAAAGTGTGGGGGAGACAACAAGGTTGCAATCCTCATCCTCAGCCTGGCATGAAATAAGGACTGGCAGAATAACTGCATCTATTGCTGGTGACGTTATGCAGACAAGTGTTTCCAAGCCGTCCTCTACACTGTGCTCACGCTCACGGTAGTTAATTACCCCCTTAGAGCTTGTAGTGGGCGGGACGGACATTTAAGCCCGATTATCTG